TGTGCAAACTCCGAGCACCTTTTGCCTTCTCCTGGGAGCAAACCTCTCACAAGCGCTGCTTTAGATGCTCTCCCTGCTCCCTGTCCTCACTCTCTGACTCCTGGCATTTTCCATCTGTGCTATTTCAGCTGCTCTGCTGTGTGTCTTTCCAGCCGGGTGGGGCCAAGCTATAAAAGGGATCTGACTATCTTCCGTCCCTTGGCGCGAAGCCTTGGGTTATACACAGCTCAGCTCAATCATTCCATGCATTCCTTTCTCTCCCGGGGAAAAGTGTAATTCATTGCAATGGTGTTTTTTTCACCATGCCCTCCCAAGACAGAAAATTCTCCCCTTCACAGCTGCCTTCACACATAGGTCTTGGGATGAGCTTATCTCAAGCATCTTGTGTGTAGAAAGGTTCCATGGCAGCCTCGAATAATAAACAGATCTTGAAAGAGTGTGCAGCGTGCATGCAGCCAAAAAAATGCTCTGTGTTCCTAGAGAGACGTTTCCACCCTGATCTTCTTCCCACTGCCATTATCCAGACAGAAAAACATGGCTTGAACTAACTACCTATTGATGCTCAAATGTCAGCATTTTTTTAAACCTGCTGCAGTTATCATTCAGTGGACTGTGATCCAGCTGCGTTTTAGAATCCTAGAATCATTAGGGTTGGAAAAGGCCTTCAAGATCGCCTCGTCCAAGCATCCCCCTGCCACCAAGCCCTGTCCCCAAGCACCAGGTCCAACCTCTCCTTGAACACCCCCAGGGTCGGGGACTCCCCCACCTCCCTGGGCAACCCGTCCCAAGGCCTGAGCGCTCTTGCTGAGCAGAAATGTCTCCTCATTGCCAACCTGAGCCTCCCCTGGCACAACTCGAGGCTGTTCCCTCTGCTCCTGGCCCTGGTTCCCTGTGAGCAGAGGCCGCCCCCCAGCTCCCCACCCCTTCCTTTCAGGCAGTTGCAGAGAGCAATAAGCTCTGCCCTGAGCCTCCTCTTCTCCAGCCCAAACCCCCCCAGGTCCCTCAGCCGCTCCTCACAGGACTTGTGTCCCAGGCCCTTCCCCAGCTGTGGGTTCAGAGACAGAGGTATGGGATTAAGAAGGCCAGAGGAGCCTTCTGAGAGTTACGTCTCCTTCTCAGGAGACTGTCCTGTATATTTATCCAGCGCTTTTCTCGTGTCCAGAGTGGTAACCGAATGTGTTACAGAGCAAACGCACACCATCTCTGTGGTCTACGGAGCCGGTTTTGCTGGGAATTTGGAAAAACCAGCAAACCATCGTGCCTTTAAGATCTTCTGCATTTCAAGCTTCAGACCGCTGGATAAATATTTGGCTTACGCTGTGGGCAGCCTCTGGAATGCGGCTGTGAGCTGAGCAGAGATGTGAATGCTTGGGCAGGGTGAGAGGGCACCGCCTCGCTCCGAGGGGTCTCGTAACCGGAGAATTAACTTCTTGGAACAGCCTTGCCATTGTGGGTTGGCTGTGCTGGGCATTCCCCAGAGGATGCTCTGGAGGAAATGGGTTTTCTCTAACACAGAAATATGACCATGCATTCTGGGCTGTGGGTGACGCTCCCGCTGGATAAAGGGCGATGGGATTTTGGATGAGGAGCTCATGCAAGGAAGGAATATTTTGTCTGTTTTCTGGTCATCCGCTCCAGGGTTTGTGGGGCACATCCTGTTTGAAGAGTCCAGTTTTTGTAAGCAAAGGGCTTAATTTCCATTTGAATTGTGGAGGATTTAGCGTGTCCCTCCCTGCTTTGCTAGATTTGACAGCAGATTGAGCACGTACTCAGTGTTTTGGTGACTTCAATGAGAAAAAACTTCTGGGGGTCTGCTCAAGTGGTGACTAATTAATTACAGACATACCAATCTAGATGTTTATTCCTGTAGTTTTGAGCCAAAAGCGACTGTCATATTTCTTGCTGCTGACTCTATCTCCATTTCTTCTGCAAATTGATCAAGTTAGGTCTGTGAAATAGAACAGTTAAGGATTCAAAGTTTATTGTCTGAAGATAAAACCACACAGATTTATCTCATTGCTACACCAAAATTCTAATATTTAGTGTTGTGCAACAAACTTTCCAGTGTGAGGGGAAAAATTGAGTGGCTGAAATGCTCACAAAATGCTTGATTTTCTATCTCTTTCTCCAGGGACAGTGTCTGTGTTTGAGGGAACCAGAGCTCCAGGTAGTGCAGGATCTGTATTTAGTGGCTGTATTTCTCTTATCACGTCATTTATCACCATCACGTGGTCGAGGGGCTAACTTTTATAGGAGTAGACATTCAAAATGAGTTAAATTCATCAATGATAAAACACACGGGAATCTGACCACCTAAGTAGGCACTGGGTATCATGCCTTTCCAGAAAGTGGTTACCAGATGTGTGTGCGATTCAAGACTGAAAACGAAAGAGGCTGCAAAAGAGAAAGAGCTGGGGACTTCTCCCTAATGGCAAGACTTCTCATTGAAACATTCCTGTTAAAGCGATTGCTCTTATCATTGGAGAACGCCTATTAATGAAGGAAATTTGTCTTATATTGTAGCCTTGGCTCTGAATTGGTATTTATTGTAGCAACTGGTTGCAGACCTCCTCATCTAAGCAATATTCAGTTTATACACTAGATTATGGCAAATGAGATGTTTCCTCATAGATTTTTGGGGAGCAGGCCACAGCTCAGGCTTCCCTCTGAACTTTTTTCTTCTCAGTTATGACCTGTGCTACTGCTGATCTAATTCATCAGATAGGTACCTTATTCAGAACATACAGGCTGTGAGAATAAAACAAGATATGTTTGTCCCCTTAGTGAACCCAGATTAGAAAAACATACAGGGAATGGCTGAGTAAGCATTAGCATGGAACACACATGTTGTTAATTTCCACATATTGGGATGCCATTTAGTTTAGATAAGAGAGCTAAGACCTGTGTAAAAGGCTGTTTATTATGTGGTCTGATACCACTTGCTGGAGCCTGCAGGAGGATGCCTATAAGATGCTCCCTAGGCTGTAGCCTCCTTTGACAGTAGCATCACAGGAACAGGAGGACAACACATCAACACGGAACCTGCATTTTGCATCAGGATATCTCAAAAACCTGCAAAAAATAAAATAAAAAATCAAGACTCCTTATCAGCCACCTTTTACAGATGAGCAGGCCAATGAATGAGCACACAAAGAGATGTCCTGAGCATACCTCGCAGAGTGCAGTGTGGTACCCAGTGCACAGTGATGAACACAAGCCACCCAGCTACCCTGCTCTGTGGCTCTGCAGACAAACAAGTGCCACGATCCCTCTCCCCACCAGCTCAGGACTGTGGCCAAAAGCCATAAAAGGCTTTTATTCCATTAAAGGAAATGGACATTTTTAAGGCCGTAAAAAAGCTGAGGTCAGGGTGACCTGAAAGCCTGGAAGACATCAGAGTTTTCCCATAGTGCTGTCTTCGGCTTCAGACTTTCTGAGTTTTTCCATCCAGGCTATACGTCATTTTGCAGATTCTGTGTTATACACATTCACGATATGGCCCCTCCTAACTACCCACGCAGGTACGATGCTCTCATTATCTTTGTGCTTCTGTTACTCCAACGTCCTTTACTCTCACCCTGACAAATACAAAGCAAAGATTTCTTGCCAGTCATTAAATCATTTAAAATCATTTTATCCACCTTCCCCAACTTTATATCCCTCCATGCATATTTATTTTTAGGGCATGATGAAATACAATCTGGTTTTCTTACTTCAGGCCTCTTCTCAAGTTATGCTTATATCTTATATTTTATATCTTCTTCCGTTTGGGGCTAAAAGTTCATGTCCCATCTACAATGGACATATTTGCTATGTCCTAGACCTCTAAAAAATAATATTTTTAACTACTTTTGTTAGTTATGCATTTTTAGTCCATGTCTGTAGAATGTCTCATACAGAAAAGCCTTCATATGACCTTAGATGAAGTCTTCAGACATTACTGGAACCTAAAGATAAAGGTTTCTCTTGGAAAATCAGCTCTAGATTACAAATAATGTGATATATTCTGCTGCAGAAAAGTGTCCAAAGGTACTTTGATGAAATGCAGGTAACAGTAGATAAACTATAGCAAACAGAGCATGGAAACCTATTCTTGCTGTTGTGTAGGGCTGGAGCAGAGGACCTCAGGCTCCTGAGGTCCTTAGCTGTAAAAGTAAGCTCTGGAAGAAAACAAAATTCCTCGAGCAACAGCAAAGGTGTTGCCATTAGCAGTCCAGTCACACTGTCGGTGTGGGAGTGGTTTTTGTGCCCGTTCCAACAACTCAGCAGGAGCAGTTTGCAATTCTGAGCCTGGGGATATTTTGGGTGTATGTATATTTGTGCTATTTTTATTCTTTTTTTACCTACATGATTTTTTTCCAGTCGTAATCTGATAATCTTAATGTTCTGGGGAAAAAAAATAAATAATAATGGTGCAAACAATTATTGCTCCACTCAGTCAAGATTGTTTTCATTTACTCCATTACAGCACAGACTGGTTGGAAAAGAAGTCTTAGTCATGAATTTAATGCTGCATGAAGGGAAATTCCTGGGGAGTGACTGAAAGCAGCAATCTCTCGATGCCTTTTTTCTTTTCTTTTCTTTCTTTCCTTTCTTTCCTTTCTTTTCCTTTCTTTCTTTCTTTTCCTTTCTTTTCTTTTCTTTTCTTTTCTTTCCTTTCTTTTCTTTCCTTTCCTTTCTTTCTTTTCCTTCTTTCTTTCTTTCCTTCTTTCCTTTCTTTTTCTTTCTTTTCCTTCTTTTCTTTTTCCTTTCTTTTCTTTTTCCTTTTCTTTTCCTTTCTTTTCCTTCTTTCTTTCTTTTTTTCTTCTTTTCTTTTTCCTTTCTTTTCCTTTCTTTTCTTTTCTTTTCCTTTCTTTTCTTTTCTTTTTCCTTTCTTTTCTTTCCTTTCTTTCTTTCTTTTCCTTTCTTTTCTTTTCTTTTCTTTCTTTCTTTTCTTTTTCCTTTCTTTTCTTTTTCCTTTCTTCTCTTTTCTTTTCTTCTCTTTTCTTTTCTTCTCTTTTCTTTTCTTCTCTTTTCTTTTCCTTTCCTTTCCTTTCTTCTTTTCTTTTCCTTTTCTTTTCAGCACTCTATAAGAAATGTCTGCTAAAACTCTTTTAATGATTTGTCATCATTTTAGTCTGAAGTCAGCACTTCACATCCACGTTCTGCTCCGCACTGAGTTAGCCTGTACTCACTTTACCTTTCCAGTGTCATGACTAGGTGTATTTTCACTGGGAGCAGAAAAAAGTCAAGATTTCCTCCCCTACCTAACCTAAGTCAGTATCTGGAGGGAACATTTCCAAACCTTGTGATGTAGTGATTGCTTTGCAGCTGGACAGCTTCCTGATTGAGATGGGGGGGGGAAGGGGTTACCTGTAATAACCTGAATTTACATCTGTTAGCGTGACAGAGAAATTTTGCCAATATAAATAGCGTTATCGAACCTCAATGTGTCTTATTCCATAGGAAGAAAGGCTTTAAGTTGTTTAAGTAGATCCCAGGAACTTCTGGAAAACACTGCAGGAATTAAATTATCATTAGTGAACTGCAAATAGACCAATGCCCAATCTTTGGTCTTCATTTCCATCCCTGATGCTTAACAAGTGCAAAGACAGCAAAACACCCCTGGCCACATTCTCCGGGGAAACCTGAGGATATGTTTATTGCATGTTTAAGAATAAAAAGTGGGGCTTCCTAAATCTCTCTTGAAGTCTATTTGGAATGATTATGATGGAAACCAGAGTTCAAATACCACTGGAATCTCTTAGATGTGGGCTCCTACAGTTTCATTTTTCATTCTTCTGACTTTTGAGCACTACCACAAACTGATGAATGCCTAACTGTATGAAACACATTACATCCCACATTGCATTTCATCACTTCTGAACCCCCCAGGTCCTTCACAGAGAAAAACAGCAGCTGCCACTTACAAGTAACCGCTTGCATTCGAGGAACTTGGACATCCACCGAGTGACCACATGGACCCAGGTAAACCCATTTTACAGATACAAAATAGAGGCACAGATAACAAGACTGGAATCAGTCTGACCAAAATTCTCCCCCTGATTAGGGTTTGAGTCACCCTGGGCTCTCCCTCTAACTAAGGGGAGATGCCAGCACTCCTGGGGTGCGATTCACCTCCCGTGGAAGCAGACATCTAAAGCAAATCAGATGAATCGCAACCTAAAAGTGACCATTTCTCCCTGCTGACTGCAAAGGGAGTCATGGGTGACTGGGTCATATATAGACGGCGACACAGCACACATCTAAAGCTGTGTGTGAGGTATCACATCTAGGGTTTGCCCAAGACCTGACAGCCAGCTAGCTATTGCAGCAAAATTTGAAGCTCATTTAAAAGTGACATTCATTTAATTAACAGTAAATGAAATAAATAATATAATATAATATAACATAATATAATATAATACAATAAAATACAATATAATTAAAAGCTGGTACTCTGGTCTGAGATCTGATTACTTTAACTGACTCAGAAGTTGTTATTCACCATTTTTAAATCTCTGTAGCAACAGGATGTCAATACATTGTGGACTACAGGATGTGTAGCAACTTTCTGTTGCAATAAGATTGTCGGCCACAATGAAAACTAGGGGGGATCTCTGGGGGATGAGCCTCATGCTGTGTGTACAAGGCTTACAGGAGACGCAAGTGATTTCACATCCTACAATGTGTTCCACAAAGCATGGAAGGCTGAAACACCACGATTGGAAAACCTGACCTAAAATATCCTGGAATTTACCTTTTGTCTTACTGTTTATTCTCACAGTTGCTGCTGCAATTCTGAGTTCAAAACAACAGCGGAGCACCTGGACTGCTCTTGGTGCTTCCTCCTGGCAGGAGGGATGGAAATCTGGCAAATCCCCCATGGATCTGAGACTTGGGACAAATGGTATCAGCTCCAGGGGCTGAACTCAAAGCACACCCAGCTGTACCAGTGCTATGAGCTGTGGGTTTTAGGAGAAAGCTGGTGGTAACAAAAGCTTATTGTCATCTCTAGATGATCCATTGGTCTGTGCTTGGTGGTCTCAGGATATTTCAACAGTGGCCAGGTTCCTGTGGGAAAAAATCATCACCCCAGTAGTGTTCATCTGGGGCAGTTGTTTGTACTTGCAAAAGAAAAGAGAAGAACTGCTCAGAGCTGTATAGGTGTCCTTATCTTAGAGACTGGGGTTTATTCCTTGTTGTAGGGATGGCTCCAGCAGGCACAGCATGGAGAGCTGCAAGCAATGCAGGAATTTGCAATGCTTCTGGAGTGAGACCACCAGAAAGCTTGAAACTGTGGAGTGGTGCCTTCATCTGAAATAAGGTTTTCACCCCAAAGACCCCCAAATGTTTTTTTTTCCTCACCCTGGTGCAAGCTCTGTTCTTTGCTGGAAGGGTCCCAGCTGAATTCAGATCATGATGGGGAGCGATGCTCTGGTGTTCCCTGTCTTCTGCTATGATTTGTAAAGACTCTGTGACAACCCCTATGGTACTGGCACACTAAAGAATCAATGAATATAATTTTCTATTATTACTGTCAGTTACCTTTCCTGAAGATGTTTTTGGCATGTTTTTTTTTTGTTTGTTTTTGGTCAAAATTCCTTGGTAAACCTTCATTCCTCTATAACAGATCACAACTACCATGCATTTGTTTCACAAGACCCCATGGCACTGAGGTTCGCTTCAGTAATTATTTACAGTCTCTGTGTTGGAAACTCAGTTTTACCATGAAATTTTCAGGCAAATGAGTCAAAACTGGGTGCCTACAGCCATACTTAGGCTTTCTGAGAAATGTGATCTCATTCAGAGAAGTGTCAAGAATTTTTCTGTGTCAATGGAAAGCAGAGGTGCTCAGCACCTTTGAAATACTTTCAAACTCAAGTATCTAAAGATAGATTTAAAAGCCTAATTTGAGAACCTGGTTTTAAAATGTTGGTCTAGAAAATTCTGTGGTTTAAATTTTCTTCCACTTGCATATCTACAGAATGTAAAAGGTCTGGGGCAATGAACTATGAAATACTTGTGAATGTTACATCTCAAAAGCAGTTGCATTTCAGTAGGGAATTTGTGGTAAAGACAGTAGAGATTTTTGTTCAAATTAGGTAAGTGTCAGTTAGATGATGGCCCATTTCCCTTGAGGAGGTTCTAAATAATAACAGTAAATCATTTTAAATATCCTCTATGTGTAAAAATCCCATGAATTCCTTCAAGACGCAAACTATGTTTTTACTTTTATTGCATAATAAGTCTAGAGTAAACAAATATGTACAAAAATATACACATCCCTTATGCCATTTCCTTTAAAACCAGAGAACATTAATTTGGTAAGAAGTCATTTAACCAAGATTTCTGATGAACTTTCACTGAATTATAGGAATTTACATTATGAATTTGGTTTACCATCTTGTCTGTTTTTGTTAGGAAATACTCAGAATAGCAGTGGGATCATCTGGGACAGCAAACCCCAAATCTCTCAGCGTCATCACTCTCCTAAAAAGCAACGGATTGCACAAAAGGATGTTTTGCTCACGATGTTGGTTTTCGATACAGAACGTGTTTTCTTCTGTATTTGAGTAATAAATTGAAAGAAATGTAGCAAATTTACTAGTTGCTTATTGAAATCTCATTTAAAATGATTTACTTGTCATTTATTTCTACTCAACTATTCTTTTTTATGGTCATGTTATCAGTAGGAAGTTAAAAAGAAAAAAAGTAATTATCTCATGCATAAATTTAATGATATCATTTTTAGGGTCACCTATACCTTTTAACAAGCAGTTTTAAAAATAACCATGACTTTCATTGCTGGTGTGAGTTTTCACCAGATACCTGCTGAGCTTCTGAGCATCCGCATTATCTTTAGTAAAATGACGTGTTTTCCCAGGCTCAGATATTTTAAGACATATTAAGACGTAATTTACAATTTACATCACTCTTTCCAAACAAACCGTCCCATGGAAAGTCCCCAGCTGCAAACGTTTCACACACATGTACACACACACAAAAGTGATGAACTGATATTTGGCAACAAACCTGACAGACCATTGTAAAAATTAAACTCAAGAGGAAAAGGGTGGGGGTGTCTAGTTTTTAAAAAAATTAACCAGCTTATATTACCCCTCCCTGTAAGCCTACGATTTTTCTGCACAACCAGTTCTATTCTCAAAAGAAAATTCACTTGGTAACACGGCCCCATATACAAAGACTCACACTGCACATTGCAACTGCAATGATGCATCCTGGGCCTGATCCAGTGTGGGCTAGAGGTGATGGAAAGGCTGTGCATGCCTGGAGACATCAACCCCAACCTCAAAGTCATCCTGAGAAGCACTTTGCAGAGCACCTCTGAACTCCCCAGGGCCTCTGAGGAGACCACAGCCCCCATCGCTGCTCCTCTCCCCAACAGCACATTGAGTGAAAGTTCAGTTGGGCAGTGAAAGATGTGTTGGTCATCATCTCCAAAGCATCTGGTGGCCTCCCCCAGCGTATCTGAGAGCCCTCTGCTCCACAAAGGAAACCCAAGCAGAGCTCTGTGGTTGTGTTTTGGCTGCAACAATGCCATGACTGCATATTAGAAGCCAGAGAAAAAAACTCAAGGCCACCTTCCATCCCTTCCTCTCTGGAAGGCCATGCACGCAGTGTTGGCCCAAAACACGGCTGAGATTCCTTATCTACCACCAAGAGATGGCATGGATCTGGTAGGAATACAGAGGAGGGATAAAACCAAGCCCTGCACCAAGTTCTGCAGATCCAACCACCTTTACACCAACAGCAACACAACCAGCTTGCACCTCCAGGGAGTTACAGTGACATCAGAACCACAAGCAGTGGGATGAGTCCTAAGCAACTGAATCTGAAGAATGGAAAGAATTCATGAAAGACTGGAAAAGCAGGGAAGAAAATCTAGCTGGAAGTGTTTGGACTTTGTGCAAGAAGTGTGTTTGGCCTGGCTTTCCGTGGTTTTTGCCAATGTGAGGTGAAAGCGTGAGTCAGTGTGGGCCTAGGTGGCCTGCTCTCTTCAGGCCTAGCTGTGGGAGCACAGCCCGGGGAAACTCGCTAAGAAGGAACAACTCGGAGAAAGCAAAAACTTGCACAAGATGATTTCCCTCATATCTTGGCAGTCACTGTTTGAGTTCAGCCACAGTTTCATAGCAAGAAACTACTGCTCACTGCAGACACATCCCAGACCCCTCACGGTTTGGAGGGGGGACAGCACAACACCTCTATCTAGGCAGAAGCACACAGCTTAGGACATCACAGTGTCATTTTTTTGATTATTTTAATGCTCTATATGCTTCCATCTGTTAAGCTCTCCCATCAGATCACTCCTAGACAGCAGCTGTGTGTCTTTGTGTTCAGTTTCAGCTGAATTTGGAACAGCAGCCTAAGAAACCTGATGAGCCCTCAGCAAAACCCGATGTGGGTCCATCCCATGCTGGAGGCTGAAAACATCCCTTAGAGGTCTTAGGAGTGAAGAAATCAAATGCTTGTTACCTCCAGGCCTCACCTGTGAGCTTCAGAAGTGGTTAATGGGGTGAGATGCTGCAATATTACACTTCAGGCCCTTTTCTGTGAATGAGGACCTCGGCTCCACCAGGCACAGACGTGAGGCGACCTCAGCCATGGTTTGAAACTAGGCACAGGTAAACGTAATTAAAACGAAAGCTGCTCTGCAGACCTGAAGGTTGCTAGATAAGACCGAAAGCAGAATGCACCATCAGACCAGAGCAGAGGAAATGAAGAAATGGAAGCAGCCTATGCAATGGGGACCTTACCACCGGAGGAAACATCTTATCATACCTCTCTGACTGCTTGCCCGTAATTTCAGTGCTAGCGTCATTCATCTCGGAGCACAGCACCAACAGGTTTGGGGGATTTTTTTCCCCCTCCACATCTGCTGGCAGAGGCCGTGCCAACCGAGACCGGCTTTGTGAGGCTCGCAATGAACTCTCACCGTGTGCGAAGGTGGCAGCGTGTTGGCAAATACATCCTGCCCTTCTCGGAAATGAACCTCACAAATTGGGTGAAGACATGCTGAAATCCTGCCGAACCTTCATCACCTGCAAGTCCTTGTAATTAACTACAGCTGAGACAACCCTGCAGACCTCTGGGCTATAGGAAGCCCCATCCTCAGCCCTGATGGATGTCCCTCCAGCACAGATGGAGCTCCTGATAAGCCTAGACCCCCCCTCCGCCACTCCAGTCTTCTTCCACCAAGCCCTCACACCAACAAACAGCAAAAGAGTCAACAGCACTGCAGTGATGAGTGAAGTGAACCCTAAGCATCTGAGCTCAGGGGCAGTGCTTAGCTTGGGTATATTCATGGTTCTTCATCATTCATGGCTCTGTTGACCTGCACAAGCTGGGGATGGGATGGGGCTTGCACCAGCCGTGGTTTCAGCCCCTGACATTGCTGCAAGGACAATTGAAGATCCCCCTCCAGATACACACCTCTTGACTTCACCGTGTGCAAGGTGGGGACGTCCCCTAGAGGCTGGTTTGGTGGCTGTTTCTGATGAACAGCCTGGAAACCACCATGGGAGGTGAAACCACCGAGGAGGCTCTCAGCAGCCTGCCAAGGCAGCAACTCAAGCACCGTGCAGCACAAGGGCACCTCAAAATGCTGACAGTGGCTGTGCATGGTGTTGATCCCTTATGTTCTGCAGCCCCCAGATAGAACAGGAGCTAAGTCTTTCTGGTACCTTTGGGGTAGAAGATACCAAAATCCAGTCTTTGTGCCCCTCCCAGGGGCCTCCTGCTTGTTCCTGTACTTAATGGTACATGAAGTGGTAAACGTGGTGAAAAACAACGATTTACATACAGCTTTGGAGCCTGAGGCTGCTTTGCTAAAGGACGAAAAGATCACGTTGACCAGCAACTTTTATGCCTTATTCCCACACACCAGATAAGATTTGTCTTTCAGATTAAAAGACTGTGACATTTACAAACCACCACGCAGTGCAGGCTTCCGGATAAATAATTATTCAATCCCAATTCACCTGCTGTTCCTGGTCAAAAGTAAACACTCAGAGACAGAGAAAAAGACTCGTGGGACTTTACTACAGTGAGATAAGACTAAAGGGCTGGAGAGAAGAAGCCAATCAATGCACATATATAATTGGGCACAAAGACTTGCATTTACCTTGAGATGTGTGCAGCACTTTGGGTAGAAAGCCAATGAAACCGTGCTAAAAAAAGAGACAGGTAGCAAAGGTCAGGATTAGCCCTGCGTGCAAAGGTAACCCTCAGCTTTGTTCTGCATTGTGCAATAAGAGATAATTAGGCATGGCATTGAACAAAACCCCAAAGCTTGGCTGTTAATAGTCACAGCGATGCTACAAGCAGTTCTCAGATACACTGAAATTGCTCTGGGAAAGAAAACTCCAGGGGCAGCGAGATTTCGGTAAATGTCGATGAACCTTGTGTGGCACTGAGTTCCCGGTGAAGTGGAGGAAGAAATCAATTTGCTTAGTCATTAGCGAGGCAGTCATTGCTATCCACAGAGCCACCCCCATTCTTATGTGGGATGACACCGTATCGATTGCATTTTTTTTCATGGGGTAACTGGGAGGAGTGGTGAGGGCACCAATTGTCCCCAAATTTTTACCACACACACTTACTCTGATGGAAGTTTTCGTCCCTGTGGAATTGTACTGGTGTGAATTTGGGGGAACGAGGGAAAGAATGACGACCGCTCCGGGAACAAAGCACAAAGCACTGAGATTTGACGTGACTTGATAATAGTTTTAATGAATTTCACTGGCGTGCAGGATCGGAGCTATGATACATCACTGACTGTATCCCTCTGCTAATTAACAAGAGCCCTGAAGCAATTTTTCCCCGTGTATGTCATTGAAGCACAGCCCGGTCTTTCCTGCCTGCCCCAATACACTGATTAATATAATTAACAGTCAGATTTTATGATTACTCCAACCCACTTATTACCAGTCAGCCTGAGCCAAAAATTCACTTCCCTCTTACTGACAAGCCAACTATTTGCATTATTATTTTGTTTCAGACTCTAAACACCCTTCAATTTATACTGGTGAGTCAATCTCCTCTAGCTGTAAACCGCTGGCTGGCAATTTCCCTGGGAAGAAAAAAAAAAAAAGAAAGAAAAGAAAAAAAAAAGAACTAGCTTTCATCCTTAGCATCTTTGTGAGGGGGAATGAAAGCCACCATGCCAAGAGAATCATCCTCTTGATATTTTTCAGCCTCTCTGCCTTGACTCCAAACCTTTATGGGGACAAGAGGTGCCATTGGGGTGTTTCATTGGGGTGTTTTGTACACCAAAGTCCCTGGGCAAGTTCCCTCTGCTGTTGGCAAATAGGGGTGAGCGTAAAGCTGGGATAAACATGAGGAGGTAACATCACAGGAGAGACCCTCCTGGGGATGTCACAGGGTTTGGGAAAGGAAATCCATTTCTTCCATCAGGGTGGATACAAGCTGGCTGCAGTCTCTTCCTCCACGGTCCTCTTCCTCCACGTCTGCAGTTCCTGGTAAACCGCCGAGCGACTTCCAGATGGGCTAAAGGCCCGGGAGTATTTTTAAAGCTTTGTTGCTTTTATTTCTTCTGTTTATCTTTCTGTTCCATGATGACAGCTGAAGTAATCCCAGCCTTTGTGAATAAACTCAGCGTTTCACCTGTGTTTAGTTAAAGACCACGAGGTACAACACTTCGCACAAACACAGCCTTGTCAAAGGAGCCATGCATCGCACATTGTGCTGGAAATTGTATTACCCAATTAATTAATTACCTTATTTTCCATTCTGCCAAGACCTCAGCTGAAAGTTTGCTAAGAGCTGTCCCAGCCCAACTCCTTTCATTACAGACTAGCTGACTCTCAACTTTTTTTTTATTATTATTATTTTCATTTTAAAATATGCAGATGTGACTTGCAAATTGCATTATGGGGTTCGCTTTTTTTTCCAGTGAAATTCTCAATTTCCAGTGAAAATGTTACATCTGAGCAACCTACTGGCATCACTTTCTTCTCTGAGATGAATATTCATCCATCTTGCATTAAGCCCTTTAGCCAAGGCCTTTATTGGCCAAGTACGATTTCTTTAGTCCAAGCCCTTAACCTCCAGTCCTTCTTTTGCTGGCAGCCTGGAGCCTGAATATTTTGGGACAGATGCTCAGGGCCATGGATCATTAAGAAATAAAGATCGTTAAGAAATAGGAGTTTGCTTTTCTCAGAGTTAGTCTGGAACATTTCATCCAACACTCATTTTCCTGCACTCTGCATTTTTCATTTTCATTTTAATTTTTAACTAAGAGGTCTAGTTCCTATTTTCTGGCTGTAAGTGAAATAAACCACAAAGAATCTCTCTTCTCATTAAAAAAAAAAAAAAAAAAAAAGAGTGAGAGAGAGAGACTGTAACACTGGTCTTGTGTGGATCTCAGGAAAAGAGCACGTAAAAACCACAAAAGGTTCAAGAGGAAAGCTCCACACCCTTCGCCCAGGAGACACAGACTGCAGCACTTTGTGTACCACATTTTGGAGCACCCACCTATTGCTCTGTGAGGTTGTAGAGATGCACCAAGGTGTTGTATCTGATAATCTTTTGGGAGATAAGAATTTACAACCTGAATGAAATGGGTGATCCAACAGAAGACTACACCGACTTCATCGCCGGATGCCAAAGCTTGATCTCTAATTCCAGGGGAGGGTCAGGTTGGAAATGAGGAGACATTTCTTCTCAGAAAACTTGGCAGGAAAAACTTGGCAAAAAAGCAGGCAGAAAACTTGGGTGCATGTGCAGGGAGGGACCCCAAGTACACCACAGCAGGTCTGGTGGCTGGGGAGAATCAACTCAGGTGAAGTAATGGATCATCTGCACTTCATGTGACTTTACTTTCCTGTTGTTTCTGAAGTAAACTCAAGTCTTCAGCTTTTCAAAAATCTCAGATGAATTTGCAAGAAAATTTTGGTTTCTGTCCCAAGCTTGGGTACCCCCTGAGTTCCCACCTAGGCTGCACCCAACACTCCTGAGTCTCATTTTCTCTCCTATTTCTATTAAGACCAACAGGAATTAGAGTCCCATTCTACCAGAGGGGCACTTGGGTGGTACAAAAGGTGTTGTGATACATCCCATTGCATGGCCTAAAACCCAAGAAGCCAGCCTGGGAGGGTTTTGTATTGCCCAGCTGGGCACCCAGCTTGGCCACGCATTGCTCCTGAAATGGTGCTTTGTCTGGATTCCCTTCATCAGTCCACTGACACCAGGCAGTTCCATTTCCCCATTGCTCACCCTCCTTACACAAAAACCATAGCCAAGCTCTTTGTGCATCATATGATGAACCTCCTGTCTGAGGCTCTGGAGCTAGCTTAAACTCACCCTTTCCCAAATGAAAGAGAAACTAGAAGATGAGCGCAAGGAGATCAGGCAGAGGAAAAATATAACATGCTGTGAATCCTATGAAGAAATCTTAGGTCTTCATCAGTTAGGATGGATGTCTATTTACTCATGAAAACATGTTTGAAATAAATATCTATGTGTTTTTACTTTTTCTACACAGCAAAAAAATAGACCAAGAGCACATGCAAATCTCTTCCAACAAATTGCTATCACTCTCTGGAGATAGTTTTTTGTTTTCCTAGTTTTTAATGATAATTTTTACATTTGAAAGCTGTAAAAATAAAGCGTTTGTGTTATTTTTTCTATTGTTATTTTACATTTTTTTGTAGAAAGTACAGCACGGTGAGACTGGGTTTCTGGGTTTCTGACTTGGGTCCATGGGAGAAGAAAGGCAGTAGTCCTCTTGCTGGACCGATGCAGAGCAGTATGTGGGCAAATTTGGGAAGAAAAGAAGAAAGAAAGCGTGTGAGCTCATTTAATTTTATTAGCTAGTTATGGAGTCCACCAAAGAAAATATTGCATAGGTCATTTCTTCCTTCCCTGTTTTCTAGAACTGAAAAATTACATTTTGGGAGGAGCACAACTCTTCCAGGATGTTTATATTGGTAAGGGAGCTATTACAAAGGTAATTGTACACGGAGGGAAAAAAGATACTTAGAAATTAATTAAAATATGGTGGGAAGGGATGATGTGATGGTTAATTCTGGAAAGAGGAACAGCCCTGTGATCCACCTGACCTTGTAAAAGAGGTTGGGAGCCTA